AATTGGGTTCGGGGGTCGGTTACGTGTAGGGAACGTATTAAACACCCCTACAACGCCCTCAATCGGTACCCTATGATGAAGTTAACATGATAAGAATTAATAAATTAAATATTAGATCCATTTATTAATAACTATTTACATGCTTAAAATATAAATTAAGCGATTAACCCTAAAATATCTACATTATGACGTTTATTATAACAAAAAAAGAGATAAAGATGAGGAATAAAAGGAAGAAAAGAAGATTGACTGAAATATCTCTTGAACAAGCTCTATTAAATCTTCAAATATGGAGAAGGTGCTTTGTGGTGACCTTTCACACTACAGTATGCCTCATAGATCTCAAGAAATACAATAAGATGGAGAGAGAAGATAGAGATGTGACACAAATCTCAAGAAATACAATAGAAAGGAGAGAGATAGAGAATTTTCGTGCTCAAAGGAGTCTTATTCAAAATTTCTCTGGCTGCCCTGATAACTGTGCCCGAGTCTTCTATTTATAGGCATCAGAAGGGGGCCAGAACGACCCGTTCTGGATTTGGAACGGCCCGTTCTGGGCTAGTCTGTTATTGTCAATCAAATTACATCCAACATAATTCTATGGAAAGAAAATAATATGAGTTTAGTTTTAGGGTTATATGGTACAAAGATAATTAGGATATTTAAGAAATATTATTAAATGGATACTCGCAGGTATGGATATCATCATACCCGTCCCCGCCCCGTTTATAAACGGGTAAACAATTATCCGTCTTCATTATTCGCGGATATCCAATTAACATATTTATTTATTATCCGTAGCGAATTTTACCCGTAAATACCTACAGGTGCGAGTATTTTTGTCATCCCTAGGTCGAAATTTGCAAAGTCTAACTATTAATTGAAAAAAAGAAAGAAAAAAACTAAGTTAATATAAGAAATTAGTTTTTAAAATTACAAGCATCGGTCAATTTAGGGTCAGTTTATATAAAATTAAAAATTTTAAAAGTGTATTAAAAAATAATTCTTTAAGTAGATAAAATTGATTCTTGAAGAAATAATTTTAAAAATAGATACAAAAAGTATAAAAAAAAACATTTATTTTACTAAAAAAAATAATTTTATGAGAGAAAAGAATAAATAAACAGGTCATAAACAACTCATTATACTTTTTAAACTATTTTAAATGCTTTCTTGTCATTCCACTTCCACTAATTCGGATATTTGGTATCCTTTTTTGTGCTTGCCATCATTTCAAAGAACAATGAAAAATTGTTTTAATATCTTTTGTCTCATTCTCTTAGAGTATTCACAATTATTGTATTTTTAAAGATGTCTTATTTTGCTTGATTGAAGATTACATTCTCACATCACATTTATACGATTCATAAACAATTCATTACATTTTTTAAACTATTTTAAACACTTTCTTGTCCTTCGGGTCTTTTGGATATTTGTCATTTTTTTCTGCTTACCATCATTTCAAGGAACAATGAATAATTGCTTTAATTTCCTCTGCTGCATTCTATTGCTTAAAGCATCCACAATGGTTATATGTTAAAAATATATCTTATTTTACTTTATTAGATCTTACATTCACATCACATTTAATGTGTGTTTGGATAAAGATTTTTACAAATTTAAGGAATTTTAAATTATTGGTATTTGAATTACTTTGATTTCAATTTCTATCATTCTTAAAATATTTTGTTTGGATAAGTTAATTCAAATTTCTCAAATTTTAAATTATTGGGTTGAATATGATAATTTGTTTTCACCATGGTAAAATTAATTTTAAAAATATATTTATATGTTAATATTTTTAAATTAAATTTTTTAAAAATAAATATTAACTAATTTTTAAATATTTAATAATTTTAAAAATTAATATTAGATAATATTTAAATTTAAAAATTAATATTAGATAATATTTAATAATTTTAAAAATATTTTTGAATATTCAATAATTAAAAACATGAAGAGATAAGAGATAAGATAAAATATATAAGTGAAATAAGAAAAAAAAATATGAAGAATTTCAAATTCTTACTTTTTTGGGAGAATTTGAAATTATACTATTTCAAGGAATTTCACAAATGCTTGAATTTCAAATTCTTTATAAATTCTTCATCCAAACAAGGTATTTCACCTCAAAAAATTTAAAATTTTTCAAATAAGTAAATTATTTCATTTAAATTCCCCATCCAAACACACTATACAATTCATAAATTTCTCGCTACACTTTTTAAACTGTTTTAAAAACTTTCTTGTCCTTCCACCGCAATGAATATTTGGCATTCTTTTTTTTTTTTTTTTTTGCTTTCCGTCATTTTAAGGAATCAAGAAAATTGTTTTAATCTCCTGTGATGCATTCTACTGCTTAGAGCATCCCCCAATAATTGGATATTAAATATTTATCTTATTTTACTTTATTACATTTCACATCGCATGACGATACATTTAAACATCTTATAAACAATTCAATGCATTTTTATTCCAATGCTAAAACAACTCATAAGATACTCACAATTTAATAATCTTTTTATTTGTATTTAATTTTCAAAAGATGAGTCTAATTGTGCTTAAAATTAAGCAACTCAGAATGTCACCTAAGTTCTCCCTGGTGGGAAAAAAAAAATTAAGATACAGTTGCTTAAGTTTAAGATACTCTGAAAATATAACCATTATGGATCCTCTTATTTTCATTTAATTATTAGATATTAAACACATTTTGGTATCCTTCCTTGCTTATTTATCTAGCTCCTATGAAATTGCCAACAAAAAAGTTTGCTGTGAAACTCCAGACTTTTGGTAGGCTTTATTGAATTGAGGTGTAATAATTGCTAGCAAGTAGCAACAAATGTTTCAACTTTCAATATGTACACATAGACAATGCAAATACCAAGATATATCATAAGATTAAATGTTGTATCCTAGATCAGTGAAGTCTTCCTGATTGGTGTCATGCACACCCCATATCATACTACTGATTTTGAACATAACACAGCCTTCTCAAAGATTGGCAAGCCAATCACAATGCACCATCATTCTCACTGATGAACTTGAACAAATGCATCTGCACTTGAATATTTCCTGCACCAGTATTGGTCACAAACACTTCAAATTTCAAAAAATGGAGTGATTACTCAACAAATACTTATAACCTTCATAAAAGAATGTAGTCTTATGGATGATCTAAACACTGAATCAGAGCATTTAAAAGCTCATAATTTTAGGTAGAAAATTTGTAACTTTAAAGAAGTTACTTTTCCTAAACATAGTTGGAAACAGAAGAACAGATAAAATCTATAACCATTAATCACAGAAGTATATCTCAATCATGAAAATGAGCAATTGATTGCACATAACTAATTTGAAAGATTCATTGAATGAACACTGACAGTAAAGAATCACATCTACTGTATTGTTTCAGCAAAAGATCCAACAGTTATAGCTTTTTTTTTTTTAAAAAAAATTCTATAGAAAAAAAAATTTATTAGAGAAGAAAAATTAAGAAAGAAGAAATGGAGAATAAATAAATAAAGGTTATCAGTGCAAAGTATCTCTTCAATCTCTCTGCATACAAGTGAGGGCAATTCAAAGAAAATCATGGGAAAGAACACCAAAGATAGGCCTTAAAACAATCCTAACCCAAAAATTAGTTAAAGGCAATAAATCTATTTTACAGATGATCAAATGGCAATTAAGTAGCTTTAATGGTTGTTTTGTTCCATTAGATATAGAAGTTCTAAATATGAAGTGTATAAGACAAATTGTTTGTCTTCTTCGAAGCGATTCAAAATGAGGTTTCTTTCAAATCTTGCAAGGTCATTATAAAACTATATCAGAAAGATGATTCTTCAGGTTTCAGGTTTCTTTAATAGCAGAAAAGCATACTTAAGCAGAAGAAAATGCACCAAGGGACTTATGCATTTATCCAAACCTTCATAGAAAGAGATTTATAGCTCAAAATTACAAAAATTTTGAACCTCTTGTGGAAAGAAACTTCATAGGATAACACCATTTGTAATGTAGAAGCTAAACTAAGTAAGATCCTATCACATTGTTATTGTGCAGTCTTTTCAACGTTATGATGGTCGCCACTATCCAATGAAATTAGCTTCTAAAATCTTACGGAACTAGCCCAGAGTGAATTCTTTTATCAAATCATGTCACACTGTTGGCCAATGGATTTCTTAAATTTCTCAACTGAAATATGTAGATTGTAAATACCCACTAACACTGCTTTTATGTTTTTAAACTGCGTTGTTCCTACTTAGGAAATGTTACTGCCACTAATCAATGCAAGCATTATCAACACAATTTCAACATCCATCTATCTAAACCTATATCATAAATTAGTCAAACCAAATTCCACCACTATATTTTTCTTCAATTCATGTCTTTGTCCAGCTATGACGATTTTAGCAAAGCCATTCAATCCATCAACTTGCAGCATCACACTCAGACATAGGTGACAGGTGAGGTTCATCCGGTTAATGAAATTATCCATATATGTCAGTAAATTCAGCAAAGTCATCCATAGCCAATAAAGTCAATGAAGAAAAAAACAATGCTACTTACTATATACAGAAGGGAAAAGGGGGAGAGAAAAAAGTAAATAGAGATGGTGTAAAGAAAATTTACTCTATCATCTATTCATCTGATCAGAAACCGCCATGAATGCTAAGTTTATTTACTTTAACTATAATTATCAAGTCATACCAACGATGATTTTTGATTTATTGATAGGAAAAATTTTCTATAATAAAAATACAAACTACAAAGAAATTAAACTAAAAATAAAAATTGAAGCACAAAATTATTAAACACAAACATACTCAAGATTCATATGCAAACTCACCTGAAACAAAAGGGACGAATCCAGACATGGAAATCAGAACACTTGCAGCACAGGTCTTTTCCCAAGCCTCTTGATCTCTCTATCCATTTTCCCGGTAAGCATCAGCCCAAACATCTTGAAATCACACAAGAGTGACCAAAAGGGGTGTCCAAAAGTGGCTGGAACATTCCCTTCCACAAAGAAGTGACTGTACCAGGCACACCCATACCCAGAAAAAGGCACAAAGAACAACAACCACCAGCTGAAGAAAACCGAACAGAGCAAGAAAAAAATACTGAAGAGAGTGCCCACAAAGTGCCACCTTCTCGTGGATGGCTTCGAGTGCTGACTCACATAAAAGGCCCAGAATTCCTCCAAGCTCCTGAAATTCATGGCTTTCGGAAACGCATAAAAAAAATCAGATTTTGATGAGAACCCAATTGGGGAAAGAGGTGAAAATAAGTGGGGGTGTGAGTTAATTGAGTTTGAAGGGATTGAGGTGAAGAGGGTGCTCCTGAAAGTTAGGATTCGGAAGCAAAGTTTGATGGGGTGTTGTGGATAGTGGGGGCCATAGAAGGGAGGGTCGGAGATTTTGTTGTGTTGTGAATTCTGATGTTATTGAGAACAAGAAGGATTGGTTTTGCTGTTGGACTTGATTGCTATGATGGAGGAGGAATGATTCGGTGCAGTGCATGTCACACGTGTTCATGCAGTCAATGCCTTGTAGTCGTTGGATGAAGGTGGAAAAGTTCAGATCTTAATTGTGCTTTATATTCATTCTTAATCTAACGGTTAAGATTCAATAACAGCCTAAACGCAGAGTCGGTTACTTCAACGTCAAGTTTGTCGTCATCTTCTTCAGTTTACCGTTTCACCCTCTTTTGTTTCATTACATGTTTTTCTTTTGTTGGGCATGTTTTTGTTAGTTTTGAAAAAATTGCAGGAAAAAACCAAACAGCAGAATAAGAAACTTCACACGTTCTTATCTTCTTCTCCTTCTTATTTTTTTTAATTTTTTTATACACTTGATAGTTGATGTTTAAGTATGATGGTTTTATACTTGTTTATAAAATTTGTCCACCAATTTGAATTAAATTAATTCAATTAGATCCAGGTCAATTTGAATTATTAGATTAAATTAAAAATAAAGTATTGCTTTTGAGCTTTTTGTTTTCACATATTATTTTGATTATAAAATCTTGAATTTATTTTTAATAATTTTAAAAAGAATATTTTAATTTTTTTAAATATTTTATGCAATAGTTAAATTAATACTGAGCGATGATATTTTTATCTTTAATTTATTTATTTTTCTGTAAATATCATTTTACATATATATCATATTTTAGGGGAAATTTGATGAAGAACTTAAATAAATAGTAAACATAATAACATTATATAAAATTTTTAAAAAATGGGGAAAGTGTAAAATAAAAGAGTCTAAATGCTAAAATTAAATATTACTATTTAAATGTTAAAAAAGTTGTTGGAAAAAGTTATATTAAAAACAGAAGATAATTTTTTTATCAGAAAGATTTCGAATATATGATCATGGACATATTACTTCAAATTTTAGTAGCTCCAAGAGAAATTTATTAATGCGAAGCCTATCATACGTTACCATCAAAATTTCAGAGGGAAGGTTCAATAATAGAACTATAGAACTAGATAAAGTATCTCTTGCTCATTAAGTTTTCCTAAATAAGTTGAATTTCTTCAAAACATAATTTAATGTCACAATTGCTTGAAATGGTGGGGAATTAATTTGGTCAGACACAATGAAGTTCAAACAAATTTCCTACATTTTGTATAATTGATAGACTGTGACAGGAAGAAAAAGGATTTCTGGAAAACTATATGGTTTTGTAGCAATTTGGTCAGTATGGTTGGGGCGAAATTCTGAGATTTTCTCAACCGGTGTTTGGGATGAGGACAAAATAATTGATACAATTAGATACATTCTTGGCAGTGAAATAAGGTGAAAGGTGGGTTATGTTTCCCTTAGAATACGTGGTTGTATAGTTCTTAAGATTGTGCATGTGGTTAATTTGATGTTTTTATGCAAATTTTTGGAATATATTGAGTTATGGTTGGTTATAAAGGGCATAAAAATCATATATGAAGTTTTATCTTTGAATCTGGAATGATAAGTGGCATCCAGTAGCTGAAAATGTTGAATAGGTGCATTGTAATGTTGTTGATTGTCTCACTCAATGCAAGGTTAATCTATGTATCAATTGGAAGCATGAATTGCTCAAATATGAGGCCAAATGCATCAGTTTTGTTTCTTTCTGCAATTGGGTGGCTATTGTTTTTTCTATGGTTTTGGTGCAAAATGGGATAAATTGTTAGGATGTATTATTGTATGGGAGGGATATTTCATGTTCAGTATGGAATAGTTGCTACTATTTTCTGCATCTACTTTTCGTTTTTGTGTGATTTTGGAAGGTGCCATTTGGTTCTTTTTTATTTAGATATTTTGTATTGGCATGTCTTATGCCTCTTATGAAATAAATCTATTTTTCTTAAAATAAATAAATACAATTATTTCTCCTTTCAATTTATTGATAAAAAAAATTCTACTATATATATTATTTGTAATAGTTATTGTCTACTTTTTATAATTTAAAGGAAGAGTTGTTATGGAGAAGATCGTATTGTAAACACTTAAATGAACTCTTACACCTTTTGATTAAGGTCTCTACAAAAATCAACAATATCTGATAAAACTTACTATGTTGAATCCAATTTTAGATCCCTCTCTAATATGCATTAACCTCCGATGAAATAAAATGAGCCAAATGTAACCAACAATGTGTCTACATTCTACACAAAATGATGGGAAGAAATATGAGGAAGAGGTGTCATTGTTACAATCAATAGATTTGTGTAATTAGGAGAATTTTTCATTATTAAATATTTGACCAATTCAGTAGTATATTTGTAATTTGTAATGTGTATAAATAGGATGACACACGAAACTTATAAAAATCAATTGAAGATAGAATTAATTTTGTTTAATTTGAATATGAAGAAAAATGATTTATTTAATTAAATACATGATAATAAATGGGTAATCTGTTGAGAAGGGATTAGTAATAGAAGCTTGATAGTTTTGGTTATAAAAAATTATTAAATTAAAGTTTTATTATTTATATTTTTCTACACTTTTTTTTATTAGAAAACACACATCTATTTTTTAAAAAATAAATAAATTTCCTAAACACTTTTCAAAAAAATTTCTGGTCTCAGTCTTATCCATAGTCACTCTTTTTCCTTCCTCTCTCTCTCTCTCTCTCTCTCTCTCTCTCTCTCTCCCCAATAATAAAATTACTCACACCTCATTTTTTTTGTTCTCACACCTCATTTTTTTTGTTCTTTATACCTAATTTTCGTGTTGACATTTTTTAAAATTTTTTAAATCCTTTTTTTTACTTCATCCTTCAAATCCCTTACATCTATTTTCTTTCTTTTTTTTTTTGTCAATATAGAAAATAATAAAAATTTATAAATGCTATCCCTTACAATTTACATTGAATACAAGATATGATTTAATGTATTATATTATTTTTTTATCAATGATACTTTGGATTTATTTAAGTAATAAGACTTGATATATTTAGTGATTAGTCATTATTGATTGGGTGAAATTTTGTATCAAGAAATCAAAAAGGAATTTTGAATTCTTGAAAAGATAACTTCTCACAAAGATCTAACAAATATATTTTAATATGTGAGACTAGTAATTTCAATATTATGTGGGGTTTTTTTTTTGTGAGCTAGCAACAAAGATTTCAACTTAGTAATATGTGTTTATAGATCAAAATATTTTTGGATAAGATATATAACATGTAAAATTCAAAAAGAGTAATAGAAAAAACATATTACTTATATATAAAACTAGATAAAAATAATAATAAACTCATACAAATATGAAAACCTTAACAATTACAACTTACTATAACATATTTTTATTTTTATTTTATTTTTTGATAAAACAACACTTAACATATATGAACACATATGTTTACACTGATAACATATTATGATAACACAACATATACATTATATAGAACACATTTTTTGGGTTTTTTTTTATCAAGACACAAACATATGCAGCATATAACACAAACAAGTTGATAAACACATACATAAACATTAATAGAAAGAGTCATCAAAAGAGAAAGAGTCATAGAAAGACAACTAAGTCATGGATAAAAGAACAGATCATAGGAAAAGAAAGAGTCACATGCAAAGAATGAATCACAAATTGTAGAAAAAGAAGTTATCAAAAGACGAAAGAGTTATAGAAAGACAAATTGAATCATAGACAATGGAAGAAAGAATTATCAAAAAAAGTGGTGAATACATACAATATTTTTCAAGAACTTGAAACCATGTGCACAATGCAGTGTGAATGGTATGTTTGGAGTATAGTGTGAGATATAATTACAAAAGAAAATGAATGACTTAACTTCGTATTTATATATTTCATAGTATAACGATAAAAATTTGAGATTTTGACATGTGTACATATACCACCTAATCTATTACAAGGTTTTGACATGTGCCATGTAACACCCCGAATTTTCTACTAATAGGCTACTAATTATTATTTATTTTTATATTTATGAAGATTATTATTTTAGTTAATTAAAAGGGGCTTTATAGAATATTTTAAAAGTTTGTAATAATTTAAATTATTTATAAAAAATTAATTCTGATTTTTTTAGGCCCAGAACGGCCTGTTCCGAAAATCGGAACGGGCTGTTCCTAGAAAGCGGAACGGGCGTTCCAAAAAGCGGAACGGGTCGTTCCAGATAAACAAAATGGCCTAAAATCCAAAGTTGAAAACGGGCCGTTCTCCTTATGGTCAACCTGTGTAAAAGTGAACTCTTGGGCTATCAGAACCAGCTTATTTAGGGTTTAGGTCTTCTGATGTCATGTCCTCTTGTTTCCATGCTTCGGGAGCTCCTTTCCTTGATAATAGACATCTATTTCATTGCTTTTGTGAGCCCGGATGAAATTGGGTGTCTACAATTCCTCTCAAGGAAGTCTCGACCCTAAACGGATATCATCTTTTGCACCACAATCACTACTAGAATTTCTCTTATTACATGCGACTTTTCCTGCAAATTTTTATGAAAAATTTGTAGGAAAACGTCAAGTTTCACATTTGACCAAGTTACTATCTCTTGATCTACGTGGCTCATTTTACGATTCTCCATTTGTGGACAATCTTTTGAGTCTGAAAATGTCCACTTTAAGAAGCTTAATTCAGAACTCAACTAATCTTGAAATTATTCTTCTTGATTATGCGACCATTTCATCATCTGTTCCTGATATACTCACAAATCTTACATCTTTGCAACGACTTTCTCTTTACCGTTGTGAACTATATGGGGAATTTCCAGCCGGGATATTCCATCTTCCAAACTTGAGATATCTGAATTTGGGAAATAATCGAAAACTCACCGGTGAATTTCCTAATTTTCATTCAAGTGCACAAATTACCAAGTTAGAACTTGCTTTCACAAGCTTCTATGGTACACTACCTGCATCGATTGGAAATCTAAAGTCTTTGAATTGGTTATCAATTTCAAAATGCGATTTTTCAGGGTCTATTCCTCCTTCTTTCGGAAACCTCACTCAGCTTACGTTTCTAGATATTGAAAACAACAAATTCATGGGACGTCTTTCTTCATTCTTGGTAAATCTTACCAAACTAAGCTCCCTGATTGTTGGTTATAACGAATTTACTAGTGACAACATCTCATGGATTTGTAAGCTGTCAAGAATAAATGAATTGGGACTTGACTTGGTAAATATTGGCAGTGAGATTCCATCATGTTTTGCAAACCTCACCCAGCTATCTTCATTATCACTACTTCAAAGTAATTTAAGTGGACAAATTCCATCTTTCCTGATGAACCTTACAAATTTAAATCACATGAATCTTGCATTGAATCATCTTCAAGGTGAAATTTCAAATTGTCTCTTCAAACTTGAGAAGCTAGAATTTTTTAGTGTGGCACATAATTTGTTGGAAGGAGAATTAGAGTTTGACAAGTTTCTAATGCTCGGGAGGCTACGTATTCTTGGATTATCTTACAATAATTTGTCGCTAATTAGTGGAAAAAATCCATCCAATGTAAGCCATTCTCGAATTCAAATTTTAGGTTTGAGTTCATGCAATTTGAATGGGATTCCGAATTTTATCCGGTACATGGTTGGGCAGTCATATCTTTTAATGTCAGACAATAATGTTAATTCATTCCCCAGTTGGTTATGGGGAAAAACAGGTCTTAAAGGTTTAATTGTTTCCCACAACTCATTGGTAGGAAAAATATCCCCACTAATATGCAATTTGAAATCTCTTGTGCATCTTGATTTATCATTTAACAACTTAAGTGGCATGGTTCCCTCTTGTTTGGGAAGTTCTATCCAATCTCTAAAAGCTTTACTGCTAAGAGGAAACAAATTGATTGGCCCCATTCCTCATACATATACTATAAGAAGTGCTTTGAGAGCGATAGACATGAGCTATAACAATCTGCAGGATCAATTGCCGAGAGCATTGGTCAACTGTAGAATGCTAGAGTTTATTGATGTCAGTCAAAACCAAATTATTGATTCTTTTCCCTGTTGGTTGGGAACTCTTCCGGAGCTGAAAGTTGTTTCTCTAAGTGATAATCATTTTTATGGATCTATAAGCTGCCCCACAACTTGTACATTTCCCAAACTGCACATCATGGATCTTTCTTGCAACCAGTTCTCTGGAAGTTTGCCTTCAAAAACAATCCAAAATTGGCAGTCCATGATAGCTTCCAACGTGAGTCAATTACAGTATGAGTATTTTATATATGATATTATTTTTTATCCTTATACATTAACAATGTTTAACAAAGGGAAGGTCATGGTTTATGAACATATTCAAAACTTTTACACCTTATTAGCCATTGATCTTTCAAGTAATAAATTTTGTGGGGAGATTCCAGATGTTATGGGAGACTTAACAGGCCTTGTTTTGCTCAACCTGTCCAACAATATGCTTAGTGGTAGCATTCCTTCTTCCTTAGGAAAGCTTTCAAAGATTGAAACATTGGACCTTTCTCTGAATAGTTTATCAGGGAAGATTCCCCAACAATTGGAAGCCTTAACCTTTTTGTCGTACTTGAATGTGTCCTTTAACAACCTCTCAGGTCCTATACCACAAAATAAGCAGTTTGCTACGTTCCAAGGTAATTCATTTGAGGGTAACCAAAGACTGTGTGGGAATCCATTATCTAAGAAATGTGAACATGATGCAGGGTCACCATTTACTCCACCTTCAGCATCAAAGGATGATGAAGATTATGGATTTTTCAGTGAATTCGATTGGAAAATTGTTCTGATTGGGTATGGGGGTGGACTTATTGCAGGAGTAGCGTTGGGAAGGACTTTTGGACAAGAAATAATTGAATGGCTTAAAAAATATGTTTGAGTTGAGTCATGGTCCATGGATAGGGAAGAAGAAATCCACATTTATGTATTCTGTCTTGTCCACTGATAGAATCTAAATCCTACTGTCATATATGTAAAAAATAAAAAAAATAAACTAGTAAGTATTTTCTTCTCTTTTTTTTATGCATAAAAGCTAGTAACTATTCTCTACATTGCTTGTAGAATAAATGGTCAATATCGTCATTTTTATATTTTGTTACGAAGGTAGTGCCCAATTAGTATATTAATTATCTTTACTTATATATTTTTTATTTTATACTTGTTTGTCTTTGTTGGTGGTCAAAAAATATAAAATTTCCAAGGGTATTATAGTTACATTTGGAAAAGGTAGCTAAAAATAATTTGGGGGCCAGAACGACCCGTTCTGGATTTGGAACGGCCCGTTCTGGGCTAGTCTGTTATGGGTAAAATAAGAAACTGGAACGATCCGTTCCAAAAGTGGAACGACCCGTTCTGGGTTCGAATTTTACTTACAACAAGCTGTTCTGGAACGGCCCGTTCCAAACTAGGGTTTTAGGCCCATTTGATGATTTGGAACGACCCGTTCCATTTTTAGAACGGCCCGTTTTGGGAAAGTTTGTTATAGATAAAATAAGAATCTGGAATGGCCCGTTCCTAAGGTGAAACGGCCTGTTCTGGGTTCAAATCTTATTTATAACATCCTATTTTGGAACGGTTCGTTCTATTTTGGGAACAGCCCGTTCTGGTCTTGGAACAGCCCGTTCTGGGCTATCAGAACCAGCTTATTTAGGGTTTAGGTCTTCTGATGTCATGTCCTCTTGTTTCCATGCTTCGGGAGCTCCTTTCCTTGATAATAGACATCTATTTCATTGCTTTTGTGAGCCCGGATGAAATTGGGTGTCTACAATTCCTCTCAAGGAAGTCTCGACCCTAAACGGATATCATCTTTTGCACCACAATCACTACTAGAATTTCTCTTATTACATGCGACTTTTCCTGCAAATTTTTATGAAAAATTTGTAGGAAAACGTTGTTCCTACAAAATTTTATCTGTAGGTAATACCTTCGTGGATAATATTATTATATAAATTGGGCATTAGAATCGGGCGTTACATGCCAAAATTGGTTATATGTCTAAAAGTGACTTTTTTCTTCAACTATTAATATTATATCAAAATTTTGAGGTAATTGTCAAAATTTTTCAAAAAAAAGCATAATTATCCTTTTGAGGTAACTATCACTTTCTTGAACAAAATTTCTCATGATTCCTAACAAGTTATCCAAATTTTTTATAAGTATTATATACATTTGGTTAAATCATTCCTCTTTTCATGGAATATAAATATTGACACATAATAATTACATAGTTAGCTAAAATTTACTTTTCTTCATTCTCAAGACAACACACTTAATTTATTTTATTCATAAGTTTACTTAAGCAACATCACTTTGACATATCAAAATGTATAAGTTGAGAATACTCAAATTTTGTATGTCTCCCAAAAAAAATATACTCGATTTTAGATGAGAGTTTATATATATTGAATTGAAAGAGTTTCGAGTAAGGAACTTTTTGAGTAACACCTCTCCAATTTCTCAAAATAAAAAAGTAACGATGACCTTGAAAATAATAACTTAACATTCTTAAGACCTTTTAGGCTACTCTGTATTTTGACTTAATGTAGTTAAGTCATTTGAACATATATATGGAACCTTGATATTTCTATGATTATGGTTACTCTATATTAGAGATATGCAATGAGTTTGTTTGCTGGGGAGATTGAGTCTCAATTGAAACAAAAAGACATATACTATTCCATACTTTTCATAACAAATCTATAATTTTAGAAAGTAGCTTCCAAAATAGTATATGCTTATTCCAGATTCCAAAAGAGAAAGTGTGAAGGAATAAAGAGATAAATGATCACGTTAGGAAATAAAAAAATATAAATAAATAAATAAATAAATATATATATATATATATATATATATATTAATAGAGACGCAAAGAAAAATGACTTTTATGAATTAAAAATATATTTAAGTATTATTTTTTTAGATAATTTTAGAGACAATTTAATATTTTCATAGTGTATTCCCTTAAAATAAAAAATAAAAATAAGTAATGATTTGAAGAAGTGTATCGAAAAAAGTGTTAAATTTCAAGAGAGGAAATTCAGATTGGTTGAAAATAAATAACAATATTTAAATAAATAGTATTTAATGTTAAAATTGATTGAAAAATTAAGATTTTTAATCTAAACTGAAATGGAGGGGAGTAACATAATTTAAAAAGAGTGAGAATGAGAGAGGACATTCATTTGAAATAAAATTAGATGAATGTAAAGTTTAATTTACATTCATTTAATTATTTATCAATAATATTTTCATAAACTTATATGCACTCTTACATTCATACATTTTCTGAATGAATTATTAGAGTCGATCTATTAATAGAAATTGAGATAACATTTACAAGCCTTAAGTTCAAATGTTGATATCATTACTATAATTCTTGTTGATAAAAAGAAATACTTTCCTTGCTTTCGCGTAACTCATGATTCTAGTATAACATTTTCTGAATAGTCTAGAATGAGTAGAATCTAGATTATGGACATACTTCACTTTCCCATACAATTTTCTCACTTTTTTTTAGATCCAAATGGGGCCAACCAACGGTTTGATCGGGCTGAAAATATTACAATTTTCCTTAATGTAAGAAAAAAGAAGGAATAATAATAATAATAATAATAGTATTTTTTTCTATACCACATCTAACATTTCTTGTAGTATAAGATAACTCAGACTTTAAAATTCATAATCTCCCTTGCTTTTACTTTTCATTCATCTATTGTATAACATACTCATTTTCAAATTCTTAATTTTCCTTGCTTTTTTGAAGGGAAAAAGATCACAAGACTTGCTCGCCTGTGGCAAAAAGATTCCAAAAAATGGTTGTCACAAAATAGAGACCTGCTGTTACAGTTAAGAATGCCTGAAATGATCCCAGCCACTGTACAAAATAACCAGTCCCAATTGTGCTTATGATAGCTGCTATAGTTCCAGCAGAATTTGAGATTCCTGTTATAGTTTTGTTATTGTTAAATAAATAACCGTTATGAGAAAAACAAAAAGGAAAACAAAAATTCCCCACATCAAATTTGCGTAGCTTCTTACCATGTAGAATTCCTGCATACTGAGGAGCAATATCCTGATCATGTAAAATGTTAGAAAGTGTGAGCTTAAGATCTTACCAATATATCTCTAAGTTCATGTAAAATGTCTTAAATAAATTATTTTAAAGGCACGTTTGGATAAACTCTTCTATAAGTAATTCTAAACAAGAAAAAAAAAAGGAAATTAAGTTTCTCCATGAGTCAAAATTGCTAAAATTGACTTATGCATAAAATGATTTGTAAAAATTCTCTCATATTAACTTCTCCTAAACTTTTTTTTTAACTTATGTATAAGCTAATTTTAATTTATGGATAAACTTATTTAAAAGAAAAATTTCCTATTTTTTCCTCTAGAAATTCTTCTAAAAAAGTTTATCCAACCAGACCTGAAGAGTATGTTCAAATTTGGTGAGTTGAACTTACTTGTATGTTGAGCATATAGCCAGCCTGGCTGAAAGAACTTAGGCTCAAAGCAATAGTCATGAGTGTTGCTGCAATTGAGGGTGTGTTTGCATAATTCAAGCAGAGCAAGGTCACAGCGGGCCCCACAAATCCAATGGTCTGTAATTTACCAAGCATGAATCTCATTACAGTTGCATATGAATGTCCTTGTACTTCACATGTATAACTAAAATCAACATAAGGAAATAGTTCCCATCCCTTAAGATAAAAACTCTTTCTGATATTGGTCTCTAATTGCTCCAAAACATACAAAGCAATCTAGAGATCTCACAATCTTAACAATGTTTCTTCTTTATGTCTAGCTAATAGCCATTCAAAGGTCATTTTATCTAGCACTTCAATTGATCCTTATATCTAAAACTGACAAACAGCATATAAATATAATTATATTTTTTCTGCATGAAAGGGCTTAAAATGTTACCTGCATGAACTTCCGGACAAATATTGTGGGGTACCCTGCATTGATTAAGAAATCTGATGCAACACCAGCTAGATAACCTGAAATAGCCATTGTTCCCCATGGAACCGCGCTAAACCAAGCTGCCTGCTTCAGGTTCACATTATATACCTATACAAGAAGAAGAAATTATCGTGATTGAAAATTACATGCTTTCAGTATTATGAGAAATTTAATACTAGTATTATCAAGCATTTCAAATTGTTTTCTGTTTTCAAATATTTGTACAGTAAACAGAGAAAAAAAAAGTTGTTTTCAGTGTTTCCTGTACAAATCATTGAAAACAGGAAACAGATTGAAACAAATTGGCATTTTTTGTAATTAAACATGAAAACAGAAATAAAGGGGGCCTTAGTGAGTTAGCCTGATGTAGTAAGAAACAGTATGATATCACATTGTATAAGAATAATAAAGATGGGATGAGAGGAAAGTCATCAATTGAGAGAGTATTGGGGCCTTTGGGCTAGGAAGGTGTAGAGTCTCAAAATTCTGCAAGTTTGTAACTGTAAGAAGTGTAGATTTTTCCTATTCTTTCTATTAAAATCCCATGTTCATATCATAGACAAAGTGGGCATGAAAAGGAATTACAGTTCAGCTGTAACTTTCAAAAAATTACTATCATCTTTTACCAGGAATGCATCCAACCACCTGAATTGTCTATCATTTTTAATGAATAGTACAGCTTTTAAACAATGAAGTTAACTAACATGAGCATGGTATACTATAAAACCAGAAATGCGATGAAGAAGCATGAAGAAACCTAGAGTTATTTACTTTGTAGGTAATCCCCCCATTATATTTTTTCTGGAAGAACTATTCTAAAATGAACTTAGATGTAAAGTTTACAATTAAGGGGTATATACCTTATTGGGTTAAAAATTAAAATCACAAAATACGTTAATTAAAATCAAGGACAAAAACACTCTTACTTGTGCAGATTAAAGATGAGCTCACTTTAGAAAAGTTTTATCCATATTCTTCAAACAAAACAAAAATGTTAAGTTGTTCTCTAATATTAAACTTAAGAAGAGTTTAAGAAAGTAATTACACTTTTGAAATAAACTGGCATCCATGAGAGGAGAACAAAGTACCCCTGCAAAATTAAGAGAGGTCAAGATTAGCACGCCTAAATTTGGATTCAGGTAGCAAGTCCTTATCTCTCACCCAAAAGCAAATAGGACTCACCCAGTTGTTAGTTGCATTGGCAAATATTATAGCCCATGATGGTAGTTTTGATAGCAGAAGGCCTATGGGAGGAAACTTGCTACTTTTGTTTGAAGAACCAGTTTTTCCAGCTTGAATTAGCCTTTGTTCTGATCTGCTGACGAAATTACTTTCCATAGGATCATCAGTAACTCGATATGTCCATGTCATCACCCATAGCAATCCAAGGCATGAGAATAAGATGAAAGGACCTAAAATTCCCACAGTGGACAACATAATTGGTGTAAGCAACAAGCCTACAACATTGCCTAGATGAAATCCAGCCATTGATATTCCAAGTGCACTTGCCCTCTCATTAGTTGGAAACCACCTATTCACATATGATTATATGAAAATTGGGATCGGCTTTGAAATAATTGTAGAGAACTAGCTTTACATGCCCCACAATGAGGTGCTTATAATAGAACCACCTATTCACATATAATAGGGCCTTGAGTTCTTTCTTCAATAATACAAACAAGAAATGTAAAGCTTGCATACAAGCTTAGAAGAGTTTTTGAGAGTTTCTTTTCGGGAGAAAAACTCTCAAAAGCTGTTGTTAAATTAGTATCCAAACAGATTCTAAAACAGATTAATATGCTTAGTATTTGTGTCCAAGAGGATTATAGAGGAATCACCTTGATAAGAGAGTGCTCATGGATGGAAAAGCCACTCCTTCAGCTAAACCAAAGAAAGCGCGAATAGCCAACAAGCTAACTGTGGAGTGGTTGGCTGCCAAAGGTGTGAGAATAGTCGCCAAAGACCACAAAAACACACCCCATGCCAACACCCTCTTTCCTCCAAATCTATCAACCAAAGCTCCTCCTATCACTGAAGAGAATATGTATCCCCACAGAAAAGATGACTGATCATTCATGAGGTGTGAACTTTATGTTAGTGAGTGGCTCCACCACAAGCAAATGTGAAACATAACAAACTGATTTGATTTTTAAAAACAGACTTTTATGTGTTATTGATAAAAAAAACAAATACCTATCTTCGTCTCAATTTTAAAATAAATGATTTTTCCACAAACTAGGAACCAAATAATAGATAATAGGGCAACACCCAAAAAAAAAAATAGTCAATAGGGAAATTCTCAGTGAACATCAAAATGGGTCCAAAAAAAAGTTGCCCTTTTTGGGGTGTATGTTTGAGACGTGTATACCAAAAGGTAAACAAGAGACAGAAATGATATCAATTTATATGTTGAAATAATACAATTGAAACTAATATAAAATTGATTTTTTTCGAATAAACAATTCTTCTTTCCACGTAGTCAATGATGACATTTTATGCTTTTTGTGGGTGTCAATGCATTTATTCATGATCAGAAGTTTCATATGACAACCTCATGGAGTACCTGAACAATGCCAAGAAAAGCATTGGACCACCCATGTTTTGCAGCAAGAGGAACAATAGCCACAGACATGACAACACGATCAGCATTACACAAACACATGACACATGCAATCAAAGACACCACCTTCAACCTCTCCGGGATGCTAAGAGCCACACCCTCTTCTCTTGCTCGTTCTCCCACAAATATTTCCCCATCTATGCCATCCGCAGCGCACCTCACACCCCATTGGCTCTTCCTCTTCCTCTGCCATAGCAAATTTGCTTGTGAGATTTTGGACTCAAATCCCAGATGGGGTTTCCTTAAATTGACCAAACTCAAATGGGGTGCCAAAGACGAACATCTCCAAGAGGGATAACGCAACAGGGATGGTGCTGAATTTAAAGTGGCCATTAAGGAAAAAAAAAAAGTGTTACAAAGTGATCAGCAAGGAGTTGTGGCACGGAAAATGATGAAGAGGTTTATTCTGTTTGTGTGGAACAACATGGTTGGAACTTGGAAACATTGTACGTATCTACTACGAAGGGTGGGTTTGGTGGAAGAGAAATGCGTTGAATAACGTACCAAGAATTGAAAGTGAAGAAAAATTTATAGAAAGAAGAGCAGGTTTGATTCGGGGGTTGTTGAGAAAAATGAAAAGAAGGACTATATATTAAAATTAGGAATTGCGTGACTCAATATTAAAATATTTGCCAATATTAAAATTATCGCATGAACTATGTGGAATTAGTCACTTGACTTGAAAAAGGGTAAATCAACAACTATATTATTAAACTTTAGAAAGGTTGGCCACACAAATTTAGCTACACTTATTTTAATACATTTTTATTATTAATGATTTTTTTTTACACCTATCAATGGATATTTTATTAAAAATCACATAATTATATTGGTCGAATCTTTTTTAATAGATATTATCAACAGAAAATTAAAAAAGTGTGTTGTTAGCTGTACTCAATTAACTTGGTAACATTGTATAAAAAAAATTAACCTGGTAATATCATATTTCTTTAAGAAAAATAGTTTTAGGTCCTTTCTTTTATCTATTAGGGAGGTATAATTTCTAATTTTTAACTAAAAAGTACAAGTATCAAACAATTTCAATTAACTACTTTTTTTACCTTTTTAGTTTTTTTTTTAAGATTCAATTATTTAATTTATTATAATTAAGAAAGTTGATTAATTTAGTTAATAATATTAAATTTGTCTCAAATTTATATTTTTCAAAAGTATCTATAATGTTGATGAGACTTTTATTCTACTAATTACTTATTAAAATAAAATACATAACTTTAATTAATTTTTTTTGAAAAATAAAATCTCATAATTTTAGATTGTTTTGGATTATGCAACACTTTTAATTTTGATCCTATAATAATAAGAGTCAGATTGAGTAAAAAATGAAAACTATTAATTTCTCTGGCATTAGATTGAACATCAACAGTAACTCATTTAAGAATTTCGGAGGTATTAGATTCACACGTATAATTCGTGACCAAAATAGATAATGAATTTCGGGTTTATCAAATTGTTGTAGAGTCTTTAACAACCTCAAAGCAGAAATGATTTTATGATTAATTCAAATCAATGTATAAAATGATTTTATGATTATTCATCAATTTGAATTAATGAAATGAAGTATCAAATAATTTTGAAATTTTCTAAAAATTTGCAGGCTTAATATATGCATTAAGGAATTTAAATTAAACGGTTGGATCGTTGAAATTTGATGTAGAATATGAGTTATTGAACGGAGTAAGTCTATGTACACTTACTCCTGGAGTAAAAGGATCCCTCCTTATATATATATATATAT